TTTTTTTTTTTTTTTTTGAGGCAATCTTGCTGTGTTGCCCAGGCAACTCCTGGGCTCAAGGGATCTTCCCACCTCAGCCTTCTAAGTAGCTGGGACTACAGGCATGTACCACCACGCCTCGCTAAAATTTTTTAAATTTTGAAACATAATTCATGGAATATAAATTCTAACCATACATTCACCATCCTAATGAAGGAAATGTTTTTATTTCCCCAAATTTTCTTCTAGTTCTGGTTTCATTTACATGCATTATTTATATATAGTTATTAGATTGGTGCAAAAGTAATTGCGGTTTCGGACCATGAGGTTTAAATCATTATAACTAGATTCATACACATCTTTATTAATCAAAATAGGAACCATTACAGTCAATACATTTTTGCCAACGAAGAATAAATTTGTTTATTCCTGTAGTGTAAAAATCTGTGCTTTGGGATTCTATAACTCTTGGAAAGCACTTTCTGCATCCTGCTGGTTGTGGAAGCGTTTTCCCTGCAAAAAGTTGTCGAGATGCTTTAAGAAGTGGTAGTCGGTTGGCAAAAGGTCAGGTGAATATTGGCGGCTGAGGCAAAACTTCGTAGCCCAATTCATTCAACTTTTGAAGTGTTGGTCATGCAACATGAGGTCAGGCATTGTGAAGAATTGGGCCCTTTCTGTTGACCAATGCCAGCTGCAGATGTTGCAGTTTTCAGTGCATCTCATCAATGTGCTGAGCATACTTCTCAGATGTAATGGTTTCTCTGGGATTTGGAAAGCTGTAGTGGATCAGACCGGCAGAAGACCACCAAACAGTGACCACCTTTTTCGTGGTGCAAGTGGTGGAACCTTTTTTTGGTGCAAGTTTGGCTTTGGGGCCAGGTGTGGTGGCTCACACCTGTAATCTTAGCACTCTGGGACGCTGAGGCAGGAGGATGGCTTGAGGTCAGGAGTTTGAGACCAGCCTGAACAACAGCAAGACCCTGTCTCTACTAAAAATAGAAAAAATTGGCCGGTCAACTAAAATAGAAACAAATTAGCTGGGCGTCATGGTGCATGCCTGTAATCCCAGCTACTTGGGAGGCTGAGGCAGGAGAATCACTTGAGCCCAGGAGTTTGAGGTTGCTGTGAGCTAGGCCGATGCCATGGCACTCTAGCCCTGGCAACAGAGCTAGAGTGAGACTCTGTCTCAAAAAAAAAGAAAAAAAAGTTTGGCTTTGGGAGCTTCTTCTAAGTCCAACCTCTGAGCTGGTCACCGGTCTTCGTGTACAATCCACTTTTCGTTGCATGTCACAATCCAATAGAGAAATGGTTCGTTTTTGTTGCGTACAAGAAGAGAAGACAACACTTCAATACAATGATTTTTGGTCAGCTCATGAAGCACCCACTTATTGAGCTTTTTCACCTTTCCAATTTGCTTCAAATGCTAAACAACTGACCATAGGCAATGGCAACTTCTCGTGTAGTTATAAGAGGATCAGCTTTGATCCGTTATAAGAGGATCAGATTGCTCTCAGTTGGTTGTTGTCAGCTTCCTATGGCCAGCCATTGTGCTCCTCATCTTCAAGGCTCTTGTCCTTTGCAAAACTTCTTGAACCTCCACCACACTGTACATTCATTAGCAGTTCCTGGGCCAAATGCATTGTTGATGTTTGTGAGTTGTTT